TCGTTTTACCATCATTCAGAATATTTTAAGTGCTGAACTAGAGCATAAGAGTGATCAAAAACTACGTAAAATTAGAGTCCTTAGAGATGCAAGACCCAATGACAAAATCTTATCTCTTACTTTAACTGCTTTGTCCATGCTGCTATAAACACACACATTGTTTTTCCGGAAAGAATTCCGACCTGTTAGGTCCTAAGATCTCACAAACACACACTCTCCTGGAAAACATTAGCCTTGACCTGCTGTAGCAAAAAGGAAAAGGTGCCATGACCTCTAAAAATCAGTAGTTTGTTTAGAATTAGAGCTGCTTAAGCTGAAGAACTCCCACATGAACAGTGTAAAAGCCTCAGAAACAGTGGAGAGAAACAAGCTTTGAGCAACAGCCACGTTACTGTAGTCAATTATGTGACTGTGATTAGTGATTACTGTGCTGACTAGTTTGGGTTTGGGTGAGGCAAGTTTAAATATGATAAAGGAATAAAGCTATTATATGAAAATGAAAACTAGAAATGATTTTAAAATTGTATAAATGGCAAAAACATGTGTTTTCCTCTTTTCTTATTTTTAATGCTACGCTCTAAAAAGGTTACAAGCAGTATGATTTTTAATATAAAGCCTAATCTACATTACAAGAACTGTAACTTGTGAACCAAACTACTAGTATGGAATAGTATTTGAAAAATAACCAGTGCATCTGAGTGGTAAAGGTGACACTGTGATCTCATTAAAGTTCATGATGGATGATTGATGACTGCTGGGACATGCTGGTGGCACAAGCCCTGGACTAATGATGTCGTCTCACAGTTATGCTCACTTTATTATTTTGCTCAAAGTGGTAACACAAATAGCAGAAACGGTCCATGATGATTTAAGCAGAATCCATTCAATTTAATTCAATTCAGGTGACTACAAATGAGTCCACGTCATCGTTTTGTCAAAAAAAAAAAACATATACTTGGCCTCTGCTGGAGCCATTTGATACTGTGAACTGGTTTGTCTGTATCATTACCAAATTCTAAACCAGATGTGTGCATCAGTCTGAGTCACTTTGTTTCCCTTTTACAGTGTTAGGGCTGAGTATTATATTCAAAGCACACAAAACAGACAGCAGACTGTGAGGAGCTATTGAACTAACTGGACAAAAACAGTATTGGATGAGACAAGCTGAATTCTAGCTGGTTACTGGACATCAGGATTGGTCCACTGTGTATTTCTGCTTTCAGTTGACCATAATGTCTAAAGCGAGTGTAAATTGATTTTTTAGGTTGACTGCTCTCCAGCCTTTTTCCTTTTTGTCTTTTGGTGTGACGCCTGCCGTCTGGGTCATGGTTCCTAAAAGGTTACTGGTGACATTCTATCTTCCTTGGGCGCAGGTTAAAAGCATGTATTGAATTATCTGCTTTTTACATCAGGCAGACCGTCTTGAAAGTGACCTCAGTTTAACAGATCAAAGGGCATGTCAATGTCATCATCACGTCTTCCCTTTTTTTAATGATGTGGGCTTTTTAACCTTTTAAACCGCTTTATTCTTTTCTTTATAGTTAAAACAGACGTGCCTGATCATTTTCCTACCATGCTTTCCAGGCTCAGGCTCTGACGAACAGTCGGCAGGGAAATAGATGGAATGTGATACCAACAGGAAGTCACTGCTCCTGCTGAGAGGAGAAAAAATAAGGATCTTTGCCTGCTTTTCAGCTGCAGCGTCAGTGTTGCGATGCATTTTTGTTCATCCTTCTGCACTTTTTGTAAGGATGGGGGGGTTCTGCTCTCATCTGTGCCATTTAGGCTGTTACAGACTATTACTAATATTAAGTTACTTCTCATTTCAAAAGCCATGAATTACTTTATTATTTCTAGATGAGAAGCACTGAATTGTATTTGTTTATCTATTTATATTGAAAAAATGGCTCCCCTTCTCAGATGTGAGCTTAGGGAATACTGTTTTGCAGATGGAGCGCAGACAATGAAGAAACACAAGGAGAGAGAGAGATATTCAGCAAAGGTCCCAGGCAGCTGGACCAGGGATGTTTTGCTGACATGATGTGTTGCAACACTGTCCTCAGTGTACTGGACAGGATGTTTTAATAGACACAGAGCCTACACTAAGGTGAGTAGCAGGTCAGAGACACTCTCAGATGTGGTAAAGTCTGCAATGACAGTGATGTAATATCTTTGCATATCACCTCATGAAGTAGTATGAGCACAAACATGCTACTAATTATGTATTTGTCTGTACTTTCAGTTCAAGTATTTTCTTGGGGAAATTAAAACTGTGGTGCCCCCAGCAGGTCAACGTCTTTCTTATCCGGTGACATATTTCACCATCTGCCTCATGGAATACGATGACGTTTTATCCAGATATTTGTGTTCTTCTCAGTGTGAAACAACTGCAGTGACTATCCTCAGACTTTACATGAAACACTAGAATTAAGAAATTTAATTTGTCCATGTCCTTCCAATTAGCCGTGTTGTACGTTACAATTACAGATGACAATAAGAACTATGGGTTTTGAATGATGTGGTTTTATCAGTGTATCCTAATGACAGTTATTCACCTGACATTATATGTTTACAGATAAGCTGTAATTCAAACAAGCAGTCCACGCAGCCCTGTCCGTAAGGACTTTGCCTCTTTTGACTTGGTGTTTTAAGTTTACAGAAGACAAATAATCAATACTGCAGGTAATCGGTTGGCATCCTCACTACACAGCTGCCTTTAGATGCTCAGTAACAAAAAATCCCGTGTTGCATGCAGGTAAACAAACTAGTGCTAGCACAAAAAGAAAGAATGGCTGAGCCAAACCTTAGTCATAGAGCATTTGAGATATTATTTATTGCAAGATTACAATCACTTTACTTCTCTAATCGTGATTTGATTTTTGTGGCCATTGTTGGGAATAAAAACTCCAGTTTGTAAAGGTGATTTTGGGAGTGGGCTTCCAGGGCCGCAGAGAGATGAGCTGGATGGCGGCTAGATGGAGTATAGCCACAGGTGGTCTGTAATTCTGCACCGTAATTGCTTGGCAAAGTGTATTATGGGTCTTCAGACCACTCATCCACTCTGTAGGGGTGGACAAGAGAAAAGGGTGAGCGAGGTGGAAAAATAGGATGGATAACATGATGTCCCGCCGTGAGACAATTCTGCCAGACACTTACAATATGTCGAGGGAGTATTATTATTGTGTGCGTTCAAAGAACACTTTCAGTGAAGGCTATTAAGCCCGACTAATGAAAATGATGGTGGCAAATGGGGAGACAATCTCCAATTCAATTGAAATGTCATTGTGTTTTAAAGACATGTGCAACAGACATTTTCTGCTTTTTGAATGGAGAAGATGTTATCAGTCTGGAGCTCTGCACCAGGAAAGCAGACATCTTTTCATTTCTCAGCCATTTACATGTGAGTTTACAGAGTTCAGGGTCAGCAGCAGGACAGAGTCTCTTGAGTAATTTGGTGTACAGTTCCTGCTTCTGGGCCACTTTCAGCTGGCAGCACCCACTGTGCAACCACCAGCTCACAATAGTTCCTCAGTTCAGCTTCTGAGCCTCCTCACTTATCATGTTTGATTGGAAAGGCTCATTAGAAAAACCCTCCTGTCAACACATAAGATCAAACCGAGGATGCACTTTTCTTCTCTCTTTCTTTTCTTCTCTTCTCTCTTTATCCAGCTGACCAATCAGTCTTGGTAGTGGCTTGTTCTGCTACTAGGACCGACAGCTCACAAGTAATTGATTAGTCAATCTACAGGAAATGTATCTGCAACTATTTTGATCATTAATTCAGTCACAGAAATAGTAAATATTCTCTCTTTTAGCCTCTGCAATAAGGATTTTCTTTGGAAAGGAAACTGAATATTTAGCAGGTCTTGAAATGATGAGCCACCTACTAAAGATGCCACCTTGGGCTGTTCAACCTTATACTGAACAAGTTTACTATTTCCTGGCATTTCATGGGAATGTCTCATCTTCAACATTCTATAACTCGTCCCCAAATCCAGAACTAATGGGCAGGTTTAGTGAATAACGCAGGTAGTCCTACTGTCAGCTCTGAGCTTGACCTCCTTTTCTCTGACTCTTTTTACAGTTATTTTTTAGTACATTTTTTGATTTTTTTAGTCATCTGTCCTCTGCTCGGTGGCCTTCGACCTCTTTAGGGTGGATGCTGTGACTGGTTTGGTCTGTCGTTCACAGGCAGCTGATTCTGGTGTTCATGTAGTCTCTTGTCCTTGACAACTGATGAAACTATCTATTAAAAGCTTTGGAAAAATGAAGTAAGAGGATCTTGAGTTAAGATCATTTTATTAAATGTGTTCGATGTTGATAATCAGCTTTTACACTCAAATACAGAAGTTGTAAAACCATGTGGCCTAGTGATGGATGGATTAAAGCTAGTTAGCAGGGGGGCAGCTAACAGGACCTACATTGGGTCAGTCCATACTGATTATCAAGGCTGGAGCTAATGGGTTGTTTTTACTCATCATGAATTCTTTTTTTCCCCGCTTTGGTAGTAAAACTGTGAGGGCACCAGTGTCTACAGTTTGTGTACTTGTGAAAGAAATTGGTCATTAATCAAAACTAAGGTCTGTGTCATCTCTAAATTACTATGAATAAGCATAAGATGTAAATATGTGAATCTGTAAGTTTGAAAGTGTTTTTTTTTTTTTGCATTGCATCTTTCAAAAACCTATTTTTAGTGCAACTGTATGCAAGCTATATATTTTAATTGGGAAAGAGTCCTTTGATTTAGGCTTTGTAATGCTTGCTAATGAGACACTGAATAGATGTTTGTAAAATCAAATGGAAATGCAAACAAAACATCAATTTCAGAAATGAGTCACACTAAAAAAAACACCTGATGTTGTAAAATGTTTGTCGAATATAATGTAACATTTGTACGAATGTTGTAGGAAGTAGCAAGGATTGTAAACAAACGAATGAAAGAAGAGTTTGAGGTGCAGTGGGATTGTGACATAAAGATCTTTGTCTGTCTTACTCTACAGATGCAATGGCCAATCCTTCTCCAGCAAAGAGCATGGGTGACCCTGGAATTACCCCTCTGTCTCCTTCACACACTCAGGTAACTCACTCCTCCTGTACACATGTACTTGTATCTGTACCTACTATTACTCCACTACATGTATGACCTGCTGACAGGAAAGGTTTCACCACAGCTTGCATTCATTTTGCTAATCTTCCAACAAAATATTTTTGTCCCCTACACTTTGACCTCTACAACATGCGTCTTTGACAATCACTTTATACTTAATCCGTGCTGTGCACAAGGAGCATTTTCCTTCCATTGTGATGTAAAGACACAGTGTGTGGTCTGCCTGCCCTGCACTCTTTTTTTCAGCTATTCATTGTTTTCGCTTCCTCGCTTGCGTAATTTACATAACAGTGTTAGAGGTCCAGAGCGGGAGGACCAGATTGGATCACTCCAGAAACAAACAGTGACAGAGTGTAGAGCACAAAGTACAAGAGGAAAATACTTCCTGGATCTGGATTTTAAGAATACCCTGCAGACCTACCAATTATAGACATCAGTGTATCCTGTGAAATTTATTTGCTTTTTAAAAATGTCATTGATGTTGAGCCACAGTTTTGAACTGTTGTATGTGACAGTCTCATTACACACCAACACATGTCCTAACCCTGTCCTGCTGTGTGTTCTTTTCTCTGTACAGCAGAATGACACAGACCAGGTACCATCAGGGCCGTCCTTTGTGGTGGTGGTAGCCATTGATTTTGGCACTACATCCAGCGGTTATGCTTACGCCTTCACTAAGGAGCCAGAGTGCATTCACACGATGAGGTAGGCCAGCACTGCAATGCAGACGCTCGCTCAGGAAAAGTGTGGGGGTGGGCTGGAGCCACACCAACACCGTGTTGCTGTGCTGATAGTGGTCTACTTGCTTTGAACACATAAAAATAGACACCTCAAATATGCAAAGTGAAATGAGCCAGCAGTCATTCAAATTATTTAAAAATACCAAATTAAGTGTAAGTGGTACAAACCTAATCCCAAAGGATCCTTACCCTTCACAAAACACTGCTGTCCAAACAGGAAGTTCTCCCTAGAACTCATTTTAGAATCTGATTTTGCCAGTAGGAACACTGATTTGACTTGAGTTCCTCAAAAGGTTCTTGTGTTCGAAATGCCTTCTTTTGATGGTTTGCGGTTCCTGAATAGCTTTACTTACACTACTACATTTGCTTTGTTTTCTTGTGCAGATTTTCTGAACAGCAGAACACAAAGCTCAGTGCAGTGACTTTGTTTTACTCAAGTGTGAAATTTTTGACTTGACTTCATCTTGGCTACAAATAGGCAGAACAGACAACCTTCTATAGCCATTTAGGAGAGAATCAGCAATGCTAATAAGGCCAGCTTGTATTCATGTGTTCATTGCAACAGATGAGCAAGTCATCACTGTGTGTGTGTGTGTGTGTGTGTGTGTGTGTGTGTGTGTGTGTGTGTGTGTAATAAATTAAAACTGGACCTGTATGTTTTCTAATGCTTTTTGCATTGAACATGTTGTGCACGATAATGATACATGATGGTGTAGCTGTTGGAAATCCTGGGAGATTTTTATAAAAACATGGCGGTGAATGGTCAGAAAAATGTTCTGTTGCATCATGTGTGAGTGTTTTGAAACTGAAGATGGTCTCAGCTCAGAGAGCAGCAGCCTTACCAAGAACTGTGAGTTCATATGAGATGTGGCAAAGTACCAGTGCAGCAGCTCAGTGAAAACAGTCATGTCTTAGGACAACTATCGCCAGAATCTATCAGGTGACTGCAGGTTAAAATCTTCAATTTAGGTAAGGAATAGTTAATCGTTTTTGGAAATAGGATTATTTTCCTTTGTTCAGAGAATGTGATCAGAAGATTGGTATTTGTCGTATTTGTGTGCAGTACAGAGCTGGAGCACGGTGCTTGTTCGTCTACCTTAGCGTCAGGACTGGAAACAGAGGCGAAAGCTAGCATGGCTCAGTCCAGTGTTCAACAGTACACCAAGACCTCTAGAGTTTCTAGTTTTTTATTAGCAGAAAGCATGAATATCCCTCAAAATAAATTATCAAGCAAATTATTTGGTGTTGTTTTAGCATCAGGCACTGGAACTATCAACAATTCCAGCTGACAAGCCACCCAGGTAATGTCATTATCTACTGATGTTTGCTGGTTGCAATGATGATACCAAATATAAGCAACTTCTACACATGCACTGAATCCATTAATCTGATAGCGTCTGAACATTTCAGCTTCATGTCTGATTGAGCACACAGACTCACTCACTTTTTCTCAACAGTCACAACAGCACTCTTACTTGGTTGGACCGAGTAACACGTCTGTATCACTTCAGCACGGAACAATCCTGAACTGCATGAAGTCACATTATCAAATAGGATGACGCAAGTGACCCACTTTGAGTTGTGTGAAGTGATTTGGGGAAGGCTTTTCAGGCATTTCAGCGCCAATATTGGTCTGAAAACATCACTGAGAGCACCAGACACAGTTTGCTGCCAAGATTACAGAACACCTTTCTCGTTGCCTTTGTTCTAATGTGATGAAGACAGAATGTGTAAACGTTCGGATCAATAAGACTCAGCGGCAATTAATGAATTGCAGGTTTTGAAAAATTGTCAACAGGAGCGGAAGTTCAGCTTGGTGCTTCAAGCTGCGTGTAGGAGTATTTCCAGAGTTTATTAAAAGCCTGCAGCATCAGACAGCACTAGGATCCACATGAATCTCTCCAAAACGAGAGAGTTGTGTGCATTTACACATTTATGTCAAACAACAGTGGTAATTTCATGATTTATTTATTTTTTATCATTATAAATGAACCACAAAATGGACGCAGGATTGATCAGGTCACACTGTGTCCTTCTCAGTTCAGTCATTTGGTACTTAGCAGGTGTTTTCCAGGTTCATCCCTGAACTAAAGCACAGCTGTCATGATATATATATATTTGTATTATTGATAAAACAGTATTCAGATTAATATCACACATAGACAGAACTTTCAGTGTTTCTGAAATTATGAAGAATCAAGGCTGTTCATTATTTGATCAGTTATTTAGTCTTTTGTTTATTAGTACATTATTATGTATTCTGCACCACATGATGTACTGTCCAGGGTTGCATGTATGATACATCCGGTACTGTGGGTTTCTGTCACTGTAGTGAGTATGTCTGCGTGAAACTGTGAGGAAGAATAATGTGAAAGTAACTTATGTCTAAACGACAAAAAGGCCGTCATTTTACGAGACTGATTAAGCAACAGTGTTACATATCTCATGTCTGAAAAGGGCTTTAGTTAGTATAAGTGCACTTCTGAGCCTGTTTAGGGTCTTGTCTAATGTGCAGCCTGTGACAAAAGGTTTGTATTCATTGTAATACATCCAGATCAAATATTTGAGCACAGAAATGTGAGGATGAAAAGATTATAGAAATAGATTTAGTTTTAATGTGGAAGAAGCAGACACAGTTCATATAAAAACTGTACATGTGATAGTTTGATCCCGCTTTTTATTCGTGTTGCATACTTTAGAATAACTTATATTAGATTGTACTGAAATAGAAATAGTGTTAGTTTGAGACTGAGTTTTAATTGAGGTCTTCCACTCTCTGTCTAGTGGGGACAGTCAGCACGTGAAAGAAGCTCGGCTCCAACTCTGAAAGTCCCATGACCTCCCAGGTCAGCCTAGTGCTGGGCACCACAGGGGTTCACGGCTTCTAGCCCACCACAGGCTGACAGGTGGTTCAGTTCACCAGCTCATGTGTGATTTTTCACATTCTTGGCATTGCTTTGTAATGCTGCAGTACAAGGATCATTAGTGCAGCAGTGTGCAGCATTATGGGTGCTGCATGTCCAAGAAGCATCCACATGAAGGGTCCTAGGACATTGCATTGTAACCATAGACTGTATAAAAGATGGACGTAGCAACCGGCCCTGAAAAGTGAGGCCAAGCCGGAAGTGTCAAAAACCTGCAGTATCACTACGTCCGCTAGTTGCTGGCTCCAAAAAGCCCTGGCTCTCATCGACTTGAATTGGAAAAGAAGTGATCACAGATCACGAAATACCGCATTCCTACAGCTCAGGATTTTTTTCTTATTAGTTTTCATAGTCAAATCCAGAGATCAGGTGGCCAATCTGAAAATAAATCAATACTGAATTTTGAAAAAATCGTCAAAATTTTGTGGGGCAAGGGGCGTGGCTGGCTTGATTGACAGTCGGCAGCGACGATACAGACGAAGCCAGCAGAAGTTGGTAAATGTGGGCGAGCAGAGAGGGCCCGCCTCTCAATCCGTCTGACCAATCACTGCTCCTATGGCTCCGCCCCCCAAATCCAAGATGTCAACCAGGAAGTAGCAAAACCCTGGCTTCAGTTTCTCAGTGCACAAACCAACGGGTGACGTCACGGTCGCTACGTCCATCTTTTATACAGTCTATGATTGTATTGAGATGGTAAATAATATTCACTTCACCAGTCAGTGGTTTTACTGCTGTGAATGATCATTGCACACATTCAGTGTTCAGTGAGTGTATCCTGATGTTGTGGACCCAGCATCACTACATATGTGCACCAGTGTCAGGTTACAGAGCAACAGAACAGCGTAACTTCCTTTTTAATTAGTATGTTCACAGTCTTTTTCCTGCCATTGTAATTACACAGTTGTGAATAGCGACAAATATTATAGGTATTGTCTGGAATTGTACAGATCAGATTAGATTAGATTTAAAGCACAAGTACTTTATGAACAACATGTAGTTTTATAGCTTTGTGCTAAAACATACGATGTCAGCCAAGTCTGTTATTAAAAGTAATTAAATGCTACAATTAAACAGATTTAGTTTTATAATGAACTGCACACAATTTACAACCCATATCTCATATCTAGCTCTGCACATGTATAGTGTTCTTTAATAGAGATTTTAGATAACTTGCTTGTATTACATTCTTTAAAGAAATTTAGCTCACAACTGTGCCTTTCTGTTTAGTTTGGTGTGTGTATATTAATGAGAACAATCGGAATCTCCAGTAATGAGAAGAAGCAGTAGCATAAGAAGTCTGATATCTGGAGTTGTTAGATGTTGTATATATAAAAACACACCCACCCGACAAGAAAAGTATCACAGTGGGTTGACTATGATGGCCTGGTTCACAATCTCCTCTGAGCTGTTGATGAAGCGATCTTCTAAAACTCTGGGAAGCGTTGATGTGGCTCTAATTTGAGCTGTGGCAACCCTCATGAGAACCAGTTTTATCACTGGGTTTAATGGTTTCATTTTTTGTAGTTTACAAAATTCAAAGTGTGTTATCCCATACTTCTTGTGCCCTCAGTTTTGCAATTTTTTTTTATTATTCTACATTGGAGACAATAGTTAAAATCAATAAACTCCTTGTCCAAAGTTTTTGACTGCTAATGTAGTTTTACATCTGTTTGCCGGCGCAGGGACCTGATTGTGGCAGACCAGCCACTAAAAACATTCTGAGGTGCAGAAAACATTTTGGAGACAGAAGTTAGCCCATGTTTCAATGTTCAGGGTGGTGTGAGGCCAGTAAGGACAGGCTTCTTGCTGGTGCTCCGACTTAAAAGGACATAACTCATGTTAATCTCACGAAGACCAGAACCAATATGGTGTCGGTCCCACTATACAGCCATCACCTGTCTGTCACACTCATCTACAAACATATTTAAAAGATCAGACTCAGTTCTGATCTCCAGTTTGTAGATGTAGTTGGGGTAAAGATGTGAGTACCGAGTAGATCAGGGGTGGGCAATCCTGGTCCTTGAGGGCCACAGTCCTGCATGTTTTAGATGTGTCCCTCTTCCAACACACCTGATTCAAATGATCAGGATCGTTATCAGGCTTCTGCAGAGCTTGATGATGAGCTGATCATGTGAATCAGGTGTGTTGGAAGAGGGACACATCTAAACCATGCAGGACTGTGGCCCTCGAGGACCAGGATTGCCCACCCCTGGAGTAGATGCTGGTCTCTTGGTATAAATACACAAGTATATTTGCGTGTATATTCTTGGCTACAGTGAGTATTTCTGGCATGGTAACAAAGAAATATGTCATTGTGCAACAGTGTGGCTGAGTTGTTTGTTTTTAGAGAAGAATGGAGCTCTGTGGTACAGACAGCTATGATACATCAGACTTTTATTCACACACAGTACTCGTTAGTAAGATGCTTTCATTGTTGGTTTAGGTCTTATCATGAGACAGTAAGTAACAATTATAATACCAACCTTCTCCTTTAAAACTGCTGTCACTCTGGTTTGGGCTGACTTGTATTTGCTGTCTACTGTTAAATTCTTTGATATATTTTTGATCAATTTTATATGAAGCTAATTCTCTGTCCTTTGAGATATGGTTGTTTTTGGGGTGGTAGTAAGCTGACAGGACCAACTGGTTGTCTTTTAACATTAAGACAATCGGTAAAGCAAGACTGCAAAGCTTTTGAATGAAGAAATACACACTTAATAGGTCAGTTCAGTACACTGAGGGGGGTTGGTTTAATATGACCATTGCCTTGTGTTGGTTGTATGCAAGAAATTTTAAATAGATATTGCTGTGTAACAGACATTTTTTTCTTTTATTTTTTTGCCTTTATTTAGAGCAGTAGAGGTAGACAGGAAAGAATGGGGAGAGACCTGCAGCAAAAGGTCATGAGCGGGAGTCAAACCAGAACTGACGTTTTTCATCCATGTTAATACACAACTGCTATGGCTGCTGTATGACACAGTAATCATGCAGTAATTCTCATATTTTCTTACTTTGAAAATGTGCCTTGTACAGATGACCAGATACAGTTTACATGTTCATAGTTTTTAGGAAGTATATCTTACGTAATCATGACATTTATTGAACAGAAAGGAAAAAAAACCTGCAACAAACACAGAGCAGGGATAGTGGTAAAATCAATGGATCATAGTTTTTCTCTCACTCTTACAAAAGGTTCAAAAATGTGCAATAAACATCACAAGCGGTCATAACAATAGCAGCAAAAAAGCATCCTCCTAGTTGGTATGTCACATTTTAAGAGGTCCCAACAGTCTCATATTAGCTTAAAGCTTTTCCATCCAGTTTTTCCCAAATCTCCCAAATTAGTTCTCTTCACATCAGGTGTTCATTCTGAGATGGCCTGCATAATTCCATTATACACTTCTCCCAAGGAACAGAGATAACACTAATAATAGCTGTCCTCCATTTGTCCAGAAATACTGTGGTGGCTTAATTAGCCAAGGGGCTAAGTTCACATGTCTTTACTCAGAGAACTGAAGGCCTAATTTAATAGAATATTCACAAATGAATGGTACAAGCTGCATGAAAAGTCCTGAGAGTGGTTCTTAAATTGGATTTTAGAAACATTTGCATTTGACATTTGCAAGGTGCTAACGGCTTCAAAAGTCACTATTTGATCAATGCAAAAGCAGAAATCCAGATTTATTTTACATTTACTGACGACTGCCTTGTCTCTTTCTAGGCGCTGGGAGGGTGGAGACCCTGGTGTGTCCAATCAGAAGACTCCAACCACCATTTTACTGACCCCAGACAGAAAGTTCCACAGTTTCGGCTATGCGGCTCGTGACTTCTACCATGACCTGGACCCCAGCGAGTCCAAACACTGGCTCTACTTAGAAAAATTCAAAATGAAGCTTCATACAACTGCAGTAAGGATACAGACATACTCCATACACATCATATACGATCAGTGATTACATTGCAGCTCTCCAGGGCACTCGTCTAGCAATCAGCATAATACGGGCACACTCCATCCTCATCACTCACTGACTTTCTCACCTTGGCTGGTGTGATGTATTGTGTTGCTGCTGGGTGAGCCCGTGCTGATGCTGCAGCACACTGCTGACTTTGTCTGTTTCTAGACATTTCTACCAGTAGCTGTTGGCTCAGGGCTCTTTTCTGCCAACAATTCATTATAGGACATGTGCATTACAGATTGACTGATGTGTCTTTTTTCTTTCTTCTTTTTTTTTTAGGGCAGATATCGATTTTGGTAATTGACAAAAGCTAACATACATTAAAGGTTATTTATCTACAGCATGTAATAGCAGGGAACATGTCTTTCATATAGGTTTGTTTATTTATAAGGATTACTGTGACTAAATGTGTACGTATAAATGTTATATATTAACAGGATGTGATAAAAGGATCATTCCTAAGAATTACTATGACTGAATATTTACAATAGAAATAGGAGTGATGATGTTTGAGCATCATGTGATGCTACGATGCTCTTCTGTTTACTGTGAGATCAATTGATTGAGATCAATACGTTTGTCTCTTGCAGCTCTGTATGCTGTTCTCCTCTTTGCTTATTCTTTCTCTGTTCTGTCACATTTATTGCCCACTAAGGTCCAAATCTTAAATCATTATTTATTATTGTTGTCCCGACATTGTTTCAACGTTATCGTGTGGCTGCCTCCTATCTTAGCTGCTAGCCATTAGCGTAGCCTTAGCCACTGTGAAAGCAGCTAATGTCCTGATTTGTATAGATGGCTGTGCTTCTTGTTCAGTTTCTGCTCGAGGGATGTGCTTGTCAGTTAGAGCAAAGTGTTGAAGTTAATCTGACTTTTCAAAGATGTTACAGTGCTCTAGATTAGCCGTAGACTACGAGGCACAACAAACCTCATAGTGATAGCTGTAGCCTCACACCACTGGCAAAATAACTTCCAGCTGCAACACTTGTTAACACCTTTCAGTTAATTATTGGGGCCTTTTCTGTTTAACAGACACACTAGGAATGCTTGCCTGTCAGCATAAAAAAGTAAGGAGTAACGGGGTCATTGTGGCTCCTTGGGGAATACAGTTTATCAGCAAATTCCATGACAGTTGCACTACAGCGCTAATGACCAAAATGCTTTTGGGATTTGTTATCAATAAAAAAGATGTAAAATAACTCAAGGATTTTCCTAAAGTTTGATAATGGAGTGAAACGAAAGGTCAGAGGTCAGAGAACCCTATTAACAAATCATTCTCTGGTGACCATGAATTTTATGATGGTCTGGTCCTGGGTTTGACTCTTGGCCTGGGCTCTTTCTGTGAGGAGTTTGCATGGTCTCCCTGTGCCTGCATCCACAGAAATGGTCAGGTTACTTGGTGATTCTAAATTGGCCGTAGGTGTCAATCTATCTCTGTGATAGACCGGCGACTTTTGTCCTAAATCAGCTGATAGGGATAGGATAGGTTCCACAGAGGATAAAGCGATGTGTAGGTAATGGATGGATGGACAAGTCAATTAAAGTGTTGGATCAATGCTTTAAACGATGGCCCTCACTGTCTATCACAAAGATTGTGTTCAAAATGTAACTGTAAATCTAGACCTCAGATATATTATTTGCACAATGAATAAATCCATGTACTGTTCTTCTTTCATGCAACGTCACCTCTGATATCTTCTCCTTCCAATCAGAATCTGTCCATTGACACTGACCTCCACGCAGCCAATGGGAGGCGAGTTAAAGCCCTGGACATCTTTGCATATGCGTTGGCCTTCTTTAAAGAGCAAGCACTAAAGGTAATGAACATTTTCTGTTTTCTTCGACTGTTGCGTTTTCCTTTTGGTTGTTATTGATTAATGTAGTTAATCACAATCGCATATGATAACAATCACTTTTTCTGAATTAAAAAAAATTTGATTATGATGGTCAGAGCTCACAGTGTGATACGTTTAAATGTTTCATCTGCAGGAGCTTAGTGATCAGACGGGCGGCGAGTTTGACAACAATGATGTAAGATGGGTGATCACAGTTCCTGCCATCTGGAAAATGCCTGCAAAGCAGTTCATGAGGGAAGCTGCCTATAAGGTAGACTGAGAAGGTTCATTCACATTTGTACACACATTTTTTTTTTCACATTCCAGTTTACATCTCTACTCCTCAAACAACGAGTTTGCAGATGACTGATTCCAAAACTTCATGAAAAGGAAGGCAGGCTCTAGTTTGGGATGTTCGTGACTGAAGAACCTTCACTGTTTTTAGACAGCAGAATACTCAGGGTGCCGTTGCTGCAGCGTCACACAGTAAACAAGGCTCATACTTAACTGCCAGATGCACACATACAGTGACCTACAGTCTGTTAGAGGACACAGGGAGAGAGTTAGTCATCAATACAGACACAAAGAAAAGAAGGTGAGGAAAGACAATAAACCCTCCATACTGAAGTTAACCTTCAGACCAACAGCTTAATGCATCTTATACTTTTTAAACAAGTGATTTTACAAATGTAAATCCATTCTGCAGGCCCTTAATAATTTGTAGGGAAGTGTCCAAATATCTGTTTTGGTTGATTGTGCAAAGCAATGCAGCCACCTGTTATGCTTTCTGCTTAAAATACACTGGTGGAAAATTGAGTAGGCATTTCAGAGGCAAGGAGAGCTGGTTTATGCGTTATCATATCTTTTCAGTGAGAAGTCACCCCAGCAGCAAATCACATACCTGTACCAGAACCAGCTCAAACCTGTGTCAAGGCCAGAGCTATAAAAAGGATGAATTCCTTTCAGTGTGTATAGTATCTCTGCATCATATCTACTACATTTCTGTGAGCAAATCTGTAAATACACGCATAAACAATGACGAGATTCTTGAAGTGATTCTAATCAAAATCTGACTGGAGGTCACATTTCAACAGAAATTATGTGATTACTCTTTGAATTCTACTAAATGATACAAGCGTTTCCTTCTTTTCTTCCTTAAATGCAGGAAAGGTATATCAGATGTAACGATTTCTTTTAGAGACATTGAGTGCAGACACTTTATTGTTTTTTTTACCCCCTTAGCCGAGCTAGGGTGTCTATTTTGTCTTGGTTTCAATACATTTTGGGTATGTCATTATATGTATGATCTTTACAAGTGTACGTGTAAGTGTATTATTAATTATCTGTCAGGGGAGATAAACTGAAAAGGGCAGCTCAAACCTGTTTTGATGTTTCTTATTTATTCGTGCCAGAGATTAGTGTAGTGTATACCCATACTAGAGAAGTACTGCAGGGCTCAGATGAGAAGATTTCTAATTCTGTGATATCCTACAGTAGAATTTCTATGTACTCTATCAAAGAGTACATTAGTGGTAGTAAACACTGGTACTTCACACTCTGCCCCTGACTGTCACTTTTGAGTTAGTGGAGTCCTAACTGCTCTGAATCAGCACACAGAGTTGTCTCTTAAGTCAAAGCAAAGTTTTACTTGCAGCAAGGAGCCAACATGGACAGTACAGATTCTGGACAAGTGACTGACTAAAAGCATGAAGCATTGGTTCTTATATACAGACAGTGAACAGAAATCAGAAGATAGTCTCCTGCAAATGGCTGTGATTAGGCATGGTGTTTTGATTACCCGCTAAGGACATCTTGTCCTTATGTCACACTCACAAGGTTCAATAGAGGCAATGGATAGTTACAGCATTAACTCATAGACTTTTCACAAAGATCATTGGATCATAACGCAGAATTTTTTTACCAATAATGTTCAGGCACTAATCCATTAGGACACAATATACAGTATGTACACAAAGAATAAAGGTCTCGCATCTGCTTATATGTGGCTGGTCTGCTTGGTTATGTTTGAGTGCAAATCGAGCCAGAAACAGCCACAGAACACTGTGTGTATGTCTGTGTTCTATGTGAGAGGTAATGTGTCCATTTGTGTAGCAAAGCAACGTGTACTCTGTAGTCCAGTATGTATGTTGTAGTATGAATGGAGCCACATGCACATCAGCAGTAGATTTCAATACAACTTGAGCTTGATACTTCTTGAGCTGTGATTCGAAACTGGTTCAGATTCTTGTTTCCCTGCTGTCTTCCCCAATGATATCATCCTTTTCCCCTCGTCGTCATCTCCCTGGTGTGTGTATGCCCAAAGATGAGAAGAGGAGGGGGCATGTAGATGAGGGCAGGAACAGTGAAAGGAGGAGGGCTTTTAGCTGTTATCTGCAGTGGTTTGGGGCAGGGTGGAGGCAAGAGCTGACAGAGAGCGAGAGGATGTGATTAAAACTCAGAGATAAAGAGAATGAGAGCAGGAGGAAGCTGGGCGTCTACAGTGACTCAGCATGAGGCAGTGGGACGCATTTGATTGGCTGTTGGGAGGGAGAGGGAGGGAGAAAACAAGTAACCAGCTCTGTATTTCTTGTCTGGCTCCTGCTTTCAAACAATAAAAGCAGTTTGGACCTATTCTAAGCAAAGCTCCCTGTTTGAAAGATACACTGTTCAAGGAGTCTATAAATACAGTAAGGAGGGTAGATGAAGCTGAAACGTATTCTGAAAAACAATAAACCTGTGTGACGTACAGTGCTATTTATAGCAGCTGTAATTTTCTGCAGGAGTCTGTGGGTCCAAATGAAACCTCATTCCTGACCAGCAGCTCTTAATCAGATCATCATCCCATTTAACAATTATATAGTTACTACAAATTTATTAGAAAACCTTGCTGATTACTGTGGTGTAATGGTACATGTATTTTTCATGAACCATTTGGTATGTAAGCTGTGTGATCCAA